CCAGGGCATCGCACACACTCACACGCGCACGCCGGCCTCCGCACACTTCCGCCTGCCCGAAGCCACAGGGCAGGGCTCATGCAAGGCCCAGTGGGGGCCGCGGCCTCCTCGTGTGCCCTCTCGCACCACGAGGCAGGAGCCACACATCACGAGCACCATGCACTCGGGGCCTGAACACACTGCGCCGCTTCACTGCGTATTTTTAGAGACAACTCGGGGATGAGTTTTAGGAGCCGAAATCCAGGAACGAACCGACATCGGTACTCTCTGAATGAAACCTACGCAAATCGGAAGACCCAAATGAAAAGGAAGTAAAGATCAAGCCAAGAGCCTACGAGTAAATAGTTGCGATTTCTGCCACCTTCGCAGCCAGGAGTAAGAGAATCGTTTCCACCTGGGACCAGAGACCCACTCCAGCCGCTCTGTCCGCCTCCTGGGGTGCTTCCCCTCTTCCTTCCTGAGCTACGTGGAGCGCGGACAGCCTCTGTCCGTCTGCCTGTCTGTCTGTCGCTATGGAAAAGTAACCAGAACGAGCATCTCCACAGTGAAATGAGGGGAACGGCTGACAGCCGGGGTCACAGAAATGTAACTTCCACTTCCCGCAGGCGGACCCCGCCCCGCCCTCATCTCCGAGCCGGGTGACTGTCCCACCTGAGCTAGAGCCGGGACCGCGGTTTGCCCAGCTTGGGCCCGCAGATGAGCAGAGTCAGGGACGCGGCCATCCTGCCGGGAGTCCACGGTCTCCAGGGCCATCGGTCTGAAAAGACAACGAAGGGGAAGAAGAATTAGGACCTCGTCCGAAATAGCTGGAATGAGTGAATTCTGCGTGTACCTAGCTTTCTGACATTCATTTCTGACGGTCATCGTTTTTGTTTTTGTCATTTTTTTAAAAACAAAATAGTTCAGCAGGGTCCTAACTCTCAAGGCTGGAGGAACATTTTCTGCTCACTGGATAAGAGCATTATCAATGAAATACTACAAAACACTTCATAAGAATGTGCTTACTTAAAAACTTAAAACAGTCAGATGTGGTGGTGCACACCTGTGATTCCAGCACTTGGGAGGCTGAGGCAGGAGGATCATCGTGAGTTCAAGGCCAGCCTGCACTATGTGAACCCCTGTCCCACAAATAAAATAAAACTTAAAACAATCTTATAAGAAAGCTTCCTTAATAATTATTTTAAGAATTGTTTAGTATGCATACGTGATAAAATTAGGTTTTCTTATTTTATGTGGAAAGCATAAGTGTTCTATGACTCAAGACCTAGTGCACCTACTTTATATTATGGTGTGGTATGAGAAAATTTCCCCATCTTCTAAACTGATTGCTGTTACTACTAAAAAGTTTCTGACAAGCCCCCAAACAAACTGAATTAGCAAAGGTTAAGTACTTTCCTGTAGCTCCCCACTTATTTAAAGAGAATTTCATTTTTCTTTTTCAAGAGTCTAATGTTTCCAGGGAAAATTACAGACATGATTCATTTTCCTTCTGAACTCAATTTAAGTGAATGGCTTCTATGTGGAGTCTTTCTAGAAGGTAAGCCCATTTTAATACATTTCACTCAATTTAGAGAAAATACAGCCAGATGTGGTGGTGCACACTTATAATCCCAGTACTCTGGGCAGCTGAGGCAAGAAAATGGCAAGCTTGAGCCCAGCTTGGGCAACCTGGAGACGTGCCGAGATTCTTTCTCAAAACCAAAAAAGGGCTGGAGATGTAGGTCCGTGTGAAGGCCCTAGGTTCAATCCCCAGCACTACAAATGGGGTGGGGGGGTAATAAAGTGCAAACTACTCTCCTCTACTGTGTACCTTCTCAGATGTCAAAACGGCAATGCATTTTATCCACCTCACTAGCCTAAACATACGTCTAGAAAGTATGCAACCCATTTCAACCTTGAGAAGCTTTTTTTTGTTTGTTTGGCACCGGCGATCAAACTTGGGACCTCACACTTGGGAGGCAGGCGGCAGAACCACTGAGCCAAAGCCCCAGCTCGACCTTGAATAAAAATCCCCAAAATGAGTTACCAGATCCCAGTCTTTCACCTGCTGTCCTTTGACTAATCTCTCTTCTTTGGCATTTCCCTAGCCGTCTCCTAAATCTGTTCCTTTCTCTACAGGTACTCCACACAGCCCTCTAACCCTGAGAACTGACTGTGAGGGTTCAGAGCAACTCTACCAAAATAAACACCCACAGCCTCCATCGGAAACACCATTCCCTCGGCAGTCTCGGGTCCTTTTCTCTCTCATTAGTCCAGCAGCGCCTCTCTGGCCCGGGAGAGGACGGGTCATCACCTCCAGACGGGACCACGTCTCTCTCCCGGAGACTCTCACAGAACACGAGCCGTGGCCATGAGAAGGAAGAACCGGGAGGCGAGCGGGAGGGCGGCTTAGAGCATCCGACACAGCTGGGGCTCAGGAGTCCGTGCTGCAGGCGTCTCTGGAGTGTCGGCGCTGGGGAGCTTCGAGGAGACGCCGCCGGAGAGGATCCAAGCGCAGCCTTTCTCCAAAGCACTGCGCCAAACAAACCCTTCCGCATGGCTGCCCATCGGAAACAGCCTGAAGAAGGTTGCCCTGTACCACCTTTCCACCGCGGTACAAGCTCTCTTAATGTTCTGCCAAAACCTGAGGCTCAACTCGAAAACGACATGCAGAGGGCCTTCCCTCGCCAGCTCTTCATTTTTGAAACACTCGATCAGCACCATCTATCTAACTGGCTCTCAGAATCCAACAGTGGTGCTGTGGCCCACGTGCCGAAGGAGTCAAAGCAGGATCACTGGGCAACTAAGGGAATGACTTGTTTTCAAAATCAAGAGTACCATTCTCAGCTCCACACTTACTGAATCACACGGGGGGTTTAATAGTTTATATCCAAGTGATTACAAGGTTCACTAAAATCTGAGAAACACTTGGTTTACTGGTAGACCAGAAACGGATATAAGTCACTTCCTAAACAATGTGAGGTGTGTTATGTAGGAAATGCTTTGAAAACACGGGTGGAAAGATGGAGGCACCTGAGGATGGCCCACCTGAGTGCTATAAGAAGGAAGTTTTACCACACTGAAAATAAAGGCTGGGCATGGTGGTGCGTGCCTGTGATTGGAGGACTGGAGAGGCTGAGGCAGGAGGATCACTGTGAGTTTGAGGGCAGCCTAGGCTACAAAGTGAGTTCATGACCAGCCTGAACTACGAAGTGAGACCCTGCCTCAAAACCCAAAACAAATGGACATATGAACGCCCCCTACTCATTTCACTCAAGTAACTGGTGCGTCTTTCCCCAACACTGTACTACCCTCCTCCCACGCCTCCGCAGAGAAAGGGCCAGGCTCCGCCCTGTCCCCAACCGCCAGGCGTAGGGCTGCTCAGGCCCAGACCCCAGGTGGCCGCAGCAGTCCCAGCCCGCTCTAGGATGGGCCCCAGTCTTGGCCCAGATGCAGCACAGCGTGTCCCTCGGCCACGGCCTCAGGGACCCCTTCCGCTTCAGACTCCCCTCTCGGGGCTGGCCGCATGCTGCGAGCGGCTGGGGCAACGCTGCCGTAGCCCTGGTGCCTCCCTCCAGCATGCGATGGGGTCTGCATCTCCCCGTCCACCTCGGGGTTTGCGGGTATCCCCAGCGGTGAGTCTTGCTCCCCAGCTTGCCCGGCGTGGCTCTGGTCCGCCTTCCCCCCGGTGCGGCGCCCTGGACACTGACTGTGGACCGGGGGCAGGAAGTCAGCCAGAGCAGGACCTCTCCGGGAGGTGCGAGGCCTAGCACTGCCCGATGGCCTGAAGATGCGAACACAGCGGGAACGGTACAAATCCCCCTGCTGAATGTGATCTTATGTGCCTCAAAGTGTAGCGACTAAGATTTTTCTAAAAAAAAAAAGCTAGCTCCAACGGAAGAAACAATGTTCCTAAAAGTAACGACAACAACAAAAAGCCTTGAAAAAAATCTATTTAACTTTCTATAGAAAGCTGGTAGACTTCCTCGTGTTTCACAAAGTTAGGTGTAAGTACAGCCTAAAGTAAGGAAGACCACTAAAACCGTGGGGACTCCTAGTTCTACAGTCCCGCCGGCCTGTCCACACTGTCAACAGACAACTTTCCTAACTTTGTTTTTGAGACAGAGTCTTGCTATGTAGTCCAGACTGGCCTCGAACTTGCTCAGTCCCCCTGCCTCAGCCTCCCTAGTGCTGGGATTCCAGGCGTGCCTCACCACTCCCAGCCAAGACGGACTAATGTAAATATCATCGACCCCGCAGGGCCCAGCGCAGCACTGAGTATGTATGACGGGGCAGAGCGCCTCGGCTGAATGTCTGAGCAACTGGAGTGTGCAGCATGAATGTATACACGTGTGCACACTTACATGGGTGTGCACAGGCGGGTCAGCAATTAGTTCACGGCTCTAGCTTTCAGCTCTCTAGGTGGAACCTTCAAACAAGCAAAGAACCAGATCCACCTGCCTCATATTTGTCTTAACGTGCTTTTTTTCTGCCACATTTGCTCATTATTAAGACATTTATAATCAATTCTCTGCTCCTTCACTTTCTTCATTTATCCTGCGGTAAAATCGTAATATTGAATAGGGGGACGGTAACGTTTATTTCTAAAATATTAAAATCCTTCAAAACTAAACCATTAGAAACAGTCTCATTTATATAAAACTAAAAACAAGCAGAACAAAAGCCCCACAGAGTAGAGGGCTGAAGACAACTCTGCATTGCTTTGCTTCCGTCTTAGTGATATACCCTTCCGTTCTCTTCCCTAGGAAAACAATTCACAGACCTTAAACGCTGCACTCTCTCTTGGGTTATCCTCCACTGAAGTGGAAGCCGTGTGCTCTCTCGTCAGACACAGACTGAGTGCGGCTCAGCTGCCGGCTCTATTCAGTGATATCTTTATCATTTTTTAAAATTCCACTCAAGCAACGCACTTTTCATTGACTTAAATTCAGATATGAATCGAATTAACTCTAAGCAAAATACCAACAGTTCCTTCATCCAAACCCTTCCACCATTAATTTTACACGTGTGAGGGGCCCGCTGTGTGGCCCGGGCAGGGCACTCACCTATGATGTGTAAGGTCCTGGGTTCCACTCCCAGTTCCTCCCCGACAAAAGTGATTGCCAAAGGAAGCAAAATTGGCAAAGGAAGAAAAAGAGGAGCTGAGAGCCGGTGAAGGAAGGAACACAGGCTGCTCCTGAGAATGTCCGGGTACTGCGCCAGCAATGGTGGCACTCAACCGGACACTCTGCTCGGGGTCCCCCAGCTGATTCTCTCCAGACTCCTGTCCTGCCATCCCAGAAACATTTTTGTTCTGTTTTTTTGAGACAGAGTCTCACTCCACAGTCCAGGCTGGCCTTGAACTATGTGGCCCAGGTGATCCTCCTGCCTCAGCCTCTCAAGCGCCGAGATTATAGGCATGCGCCACCACGCCCGGCATGAGTCTGCATTTGACCCAGAGAAAATGACGTGTAAACCACGGGAAACGGTGATATATTTGCAGCAACCAGGACCATGGAACCATAGAACAGAGAAATGACTGGCAACCTCTGCGGTGCCTTGGCTATGCTCTCAGCTTTATTTCTTGAATAGTAATGCGCTCTTCTAGTTCAAGAACAAACAGAAGAAGGCACTCAGCGAAGCGCAGGAGTGGCCCCCACTTCCCCTCCGGGAAGCTCCGGCTGAGGCCAACAAGGCTTCCTGCCACCCGGCCACAGAAGTCAAGGGGAGACCAGCCCTGATGGAGCGAGGCGGCCCCACCACCTTGACTGGGTTTCC